TCCAAACCTGAAGGCTGCTCTTGGAGCGTCTGACCGCATACAAGAACGAGTGGAAAGAATCCTAGATACTAAAGATAGAAGTTTGATGGTAACTTTAGTTTACTGGATTTTTTTTTGTTTTTGTTTTTGTTTTTTTCTTTGATTATTTTATTAGCTATTTGGTTCTCTTTGTTGGTGTTGCTCAGGGCCGTAACCAGAACTTTTACAGGGAGGGTGCACATCGAATAAAATCGGATCATTGATGGTTTTTTTTTTTATTACCAACTCAGTGGCGTAACTAGGGATCTTGCAGGGAGGTGCACAGGCAATAATTTGCAGAACCAAAATGAAAAAAAAAGTTAAACAAAAGAAAGCAGAACCAAAAAAGGAGATGGATGAGCGGACCTTAAGCTTTTATGGGGGGGAGTGCACGTGCAAAAAAAGAAAAAAAGGAGATGGATGAGCGGACCTTAAGCTTTTATCGGGGGGTGCACGTGCACCCTTGTGCTCCCCCCTCCTGGTTACGGCTCTGTTGCTATATTAACCATTCCGAAAAGAAAAGAAAAGAAAAATCTAGGTTGAGTTGACACTGCAGTGCATTGTGGAACATATTTCCAAGATGGCGTCTATTTTGTGCCCTAAAGCATACCCATAATGCACTGCACGCAAACTTGACCCAGTTTTTTCCTTAACCGCGGAATGGGTAATAGTTGGTTAAGAAGCACGGGARGTGTGCGCTGCTATTGCGTTACGTCTCATCTCTGGGGTCTTCGCATTATATGTGAGCAAAGGTTGTTGGGTATCTCCCTTGAGTCGATCTAGGGTTTTTTGATCCTTCTCAATTCGCGCACTGTGAATGGATACCGTTAATAACGGTTTATTACCGTGCCGTGGCTCATGATCAGTTCTGATACCACAGAAATGCAATACCACTTTACTGCTTCACCAGTTTACTGCTTCTACACAGTGTGTAGAAAATGCAGTGTTGCACGAATGGTCTGTATGCGTCACGCACAGCTCTGTGTCACGCACGATAACTACATGGCTTTGCAATATTGCAYCATTTTGCACGCAGTCGATAGCAGTCTTTGCATGACGCGCAAAGGTCTGAGTTGCGCACAATCTGTATGTGTCAAGCACGGCCCTGTCACGCACTTTAACTGCCTGGCTCTGTACAAATGTACCATGTTGTACACAAGTTCGGTATGTGTCACGCATTTTAACTGTCTTCCTTTGTGATGTACGCAGCCATTACACAAAGAGTGTCGAGTAAGACCTTGTTCTTGGCGCGTTTAAACTTTTTAACAAGTTTGTTTTCAATACAAGCTGCATAGTTGTTAATTTATGTTTCAAGTTTGATTCAGCTTTAAATGTAGTCCAATGAACCTTGATCATTTTTACACACATCGTTTGAGAATAGATAAAAAAAAACTTGTGCCCTCGCCATTTTTCCAACATTTTTTCCTGAATGGAAAAAAGGAATAAATTAACCTTCTTAAAAATTTCAAACCTGTTCTAAGTATAATTTTATGTCTTGTTCTATTTTTAGTTAAAAGGAGATTCAGATGATGAAAGTGTGGACTCCCTCGACATCCTGAGGTTTGTAGCTTGAGGGCAAAGCAATTGTCAATTTAATGAAGCTCCTCTAGAGGGAAGGAGTGGAGCTATCCGCACTACCCACTGCATTTAGAAGTGAAGTCCAGGATTTTGTACTCAAATATCTCTAAAACTAAAGTCAAATTGCATCATTATRTGTATTGTCTGTTTGTATGCCTTCTATGTATTTGTGTAAAGAATTATTCACTACGAACATTCAGTATCAAGCATTTCAATAAGTCTCTGAGGGGAAGTGAATGTTTACTGGTAGGAAATACTTAAATCAATGAAATAAGGTCTCTATTTTGAAACATTGTTTTTGCCTTGCATTAATCAATGTTATTTTATGATTCTAATCTTGCAGGGATTCGTTAAGGGAAGAAAGACGAGCGATCAGCGACGCTATACGTGAAGCTGATAGGGCGTAAGTAGTATACACCTAATTGAAAAACGTTGTCGGGTTCAAAAAAAGGCTAGATCATCAAAGCTAAGACCGAAGGGGAGCATGGGAAGACAAACAATTATGCTAATTTCATGCGTATTGTAGTTTTCCCTTCCTGTGCACATTTATGCATCATGGCTTTGGCATGCTGTTAATCTAGGTCGACCGACTTTGCTCTACTGTGCATTTTTACATGTCTATATGCAAATATAATACAAATTTCGGAGTACCCAAAATCCCTTTCGGTCTTAGCTTCGATGATATGACCTTCTCGAACCCGACTACGTTTTTTCAATTAGGTGTATACAAACCAATAGACTATTACAATTTCTGTATTTCGATTGGCTAGACTACTAGAGGTCTTTTGTTTTGATAACCATCAATTAACACCTCAAGAAGGCTGTCTTACGAAAAAAACGAGTATACATTGCGCTCAACAGGATTGTTGCAGCGTTTTTCCACCCCTGAAACATGTTGCACGCAACGTTTCAAGATCAGTTAAAGCTTGCTCAGCTTCTGCAACATCGCTAGCAATATTTTGACATTTTTAGCCAATCAGGTTGCGCTAAAACGAAAACCGCTGACCAAAAGTCTTAGCATAGCAAGGAGACGCCATATTGAAACGATGTTGCGTGTTTCGTTGCAACGTGTGTCACTCCTCATTCAGATTTGTTGCGTGCAATGTTGCATGTGTCGAATTATAAGGCGAATTTAAAGCAAATTATTCTGTATTTCTACAAAAAATACGTATTGGCTACACATATTAGGTAGAACATGTTCGCTTAGCCTGGTTTTGGCTTCTAAAAGACTCTCGTTATATGTACCTCTACGACTCGAGCTGCAAATCATTATGCAAAGTAAAGAAAAGTATTCTGTATTTCTACGAATAGCGATGTATTGGCCACAATAGGTAAAACATGGTGGTTTAGCCTAGTTTTGGCTTCTAAAAGACTTGATATAATTTACCTCTACGACTCGAGCTGCAAATGACTATTCAAAGTAAAGAAAAGTATTCTGTATTTCTACGATAAGCGATGTATTGGCCACAATAGGTAGAACATGTTGGTTTAGCCTAGTTTTGAATTCTAAAAGACTCTCGTTAATATTTACCACGATGACTCGATGTACAAAACTGACTTGGCTATTTTTCAATCCACTGTAATTCTTCTGATAATTGTATCATCACTCTATAATCCCACATAAGCAACTATTGTATTATTTTCAAATTCTCTTTCCTGTCCAAATTAAAGATTCATTTGGATCGTTTCCATTCGCATTCTTTCGAGGGAAAACTATGAGTTATGGAATCAGTCTAGTATAGTTTGGAATGATATAATTAATCTACAATAGGACTACATGTCTGTCCAATTTGGAAATAATTGAATTCAAAATATTCCTCTGACTTCCAAATTGGACTCGGCCCGTATCGGACTCTTCCAATTTTGTCAGTTCTCGGAATTTTTTTCATCCAATTATTTCCAAATTGGACAGACATGTAGTCCTATTACCTATACTAACAGTAGATCTGTTTTTGTGTTGTAGAGCGTATTACAAGTCGCTTGGTATTGATCTTTGATGAGTGTAAAATATGTCAATCCTTGTTTGGTAAGATACACGGCTTTCAAAAATGGCTGCTGCTAATTTGCATAAACATTAAAAATCAATGTTTTTGAAGTCCATATCAAACAATTGTTGTCATTCGCGGGCTTCCTGTSGTGACAAACCACGCTCCCCTCCCCTACACATTTCCAGTCCTTTTTCGGCCAAAACCAAGATGGCCGACTAGTTAGTGATGTTTTCACTCGATTTACTGTAAGTTTGAGCAGTTTTGAGCAAGAAATTCGCCTTTAGTAAAGAAAGTTATATTCCAATTTCCAAATATGTTAAGTACATTCGTTATATGGTAAAAGAAACGGCTCGAGCGGAACGACAACTTTTCTATGTGGCTATCCTTGACAAGATGTGAGCATTTGAAGTTTTGAAAATGCACCAAACGAGGCCATTAAGGCCTCCAGTGATAAATACATACAAAACCCTCTATTTTCTTTCTTTCCTAAATTATTTGGTACTCGGCCAAATTTTACAAAATGTTCTGGAAATGGTTTTCATAAAGTATTTTCTCAAATAGCATTGTATAGTTTCTGGTAAACAGGCTTCATTTTCTCTATCAGAAAAAATGGATAGTTAAGGTTTTGGTTGCATGTTACTTACGAGCCAAAAATGTATTTTCAAGATCCGGGGGGGGGGGGGGGGGGGGG